TAATAAACATTAAACAAAATTTCTCACAAATTATTTAGTATTATGTCCCATACGTCCATCTCTCTATTGCTTCACTGTCAACAAGTTTAGGCAAGGCATATTTCATATAAAAAATTTTAATTTTATTTTGTATATTTTCTTCCCAAAAGCTGTCAATATGAGATATTTTCTCCACTTTTATTCCTCCAGAAGTCCAAAAGCACAAAATGCAAAAATCCATTTGTGTTATGTGCAGCTAGCCCTGAATTTGAAAATACCAATAGTGGTTCTCCTTAATGGTATTGTCCTTTTTCCAAAAAGTTATTTCTCTACTGCATATTTCTTCTTCTACAGTCAGCACCTCAGTTCCATATGGACATTTTAACTCTATCATAGAGTTTTGTTTTTTATTTTAATTCCATCCAGGCTGGCAGCAACATAATCAAATTCGAATTCAATAAAATGTCCACATTTAAAAATTTTTACTTGCAAATAAATTTCCAAATCTTATTTTGCTCTGAATTTATGGTCCATGCCATATCGGGTGGCTTTAGAAATAAATAAAATATTTTAGGAGATTTTTTACAAATTTCTCCAAATTTTAAAGCAGTGACTCGTTTCCGTTTTTTATTGTGCCACAATGCACAATCAGCTTGTCATAATCGTTTTTTTTTTCTCATTTATAGACATTGGCTAACTTTTTAGAAAATTTTCTCTTGCAACGCGCCTCAAAGGGTGCAACAGATCAAAGCCATGCGCGAAAGCAAGAAAAATATTTACATTATTTTAACGGATTGAAGAGATATTCATTAAACAAAAACATATTTATAATTCACATCTCAGTGTATACCTTCCAATTTCGGATATATATTTTTTTAATAAATAAATGATAAAATTAATTTAATATAATTGAGCAAAATTACTGTATGTAAAAAATAACAACATGAATTCAAATCACTTACGTACTCTTTATCACTAAATAATAGAAAAATATATATATTTTGTTAGTGTCACCCTCTAGACGAAAAAGCTATAAACGAATTTCTATTTTTATTGTAATAAAAATAAATGCTCCTGTAGGCAAAAATTAAATAAATTGTTCTCTTCTAGCATTTTTTAACATTTCTATATCTTTTTTGTTTCTTTTCTTAGATTTTTTTTAAAAGAGACTGATTCATATTTTTAAAGTGACTCCAGAGAGGTATGGGTTAAGCCTTTACCTGTACTTACATAAAATTTATTTTAGTAAAATTAAAAAATAATCTGTAAAATTGGTGTACTATGAAACCAATCCTAGTATTACAGAAAAAAATTACGTAAAAAATAAGGTGTACAAATACGTAAAATATATTCATCCCTCGTAAAACATCAGTAAAATATATTATAAATTGTTTTCATTCACAAATATTAATTTCTTAAAAATCTAACAGAGGCGCCACTTTCCAGACGAAAAATCTTGCAATGTAAGGGTTTCGTAGTACCCCACTTTTAAAGTTTATTTCCCACTTTTAAAGTTTATTTTTAACTATTTTTAAAATAAAAAAATAAGTACGTGTAGGTAAAGGTTAAATCTATGCTTCTCTGGAACCACTTTTTCAAAATTCAATTTAGTTTTTTCTAAAAAAAATTGAAAAAATGGGTAAAAAAAGTCGAGTTTTGTATTTTTTTTTAGAAAAAAGAGTTTCAAATTTTAAAAAAGTGTCTCCAGAGGAGCATAGATTTATCCTTTACCTACACGTACATATTTTTTTCTTTTAGAATAAGTCAAAAACACACTTTAAAAGTGGGGTACTACGAAACCCTTGCATGCTCCGCTCTACAGCCAAGTAAATACTCCTCTTAAGATTTTTTTTTTATTTTTAATGCAACTTACCTACCGGTAGAGCTACTTTTAGGTGATGGTTCCATCCTTTTAAAAAAGTTAAGAAAATATATTGGTATCTTCTAGAATTAAAAGAATTTCCACGAAATTCGCACATTTCGGTTGTAATAGTAAACAGTGCAACAGCTCATAACTAATTAATAATATTTCCTTTTAACAAACTGTGTAGGTATTTAGAAATATATACCTAATAATTATTATTTTTACCTAAACGAAAGTTAAGAATCATTTAATGCATTTGTACAGGTCAGTCCAACACTAATAAAAATTGTAAAACGTCAATCAAGCGCCTCGGGCAGTGCTTTCCACTAGTCGATTGAAAACGAGTCACGCCGAGCGAGGGCGACGAAGAAGAAATCACCCTTGGAAGCCTGAGAATGGGACAGAAAAAAAAAATGACTTGAAAGTTGTCCGAAAATGGCAAGAGATAGCCAAATACAGTGGATCTATTAAAGGGTACTAGACTCAGTAGGAATCCCTGTATCTTCACGATGGCCTATTGCACTGGAAGTGGGAAAGTCCTAATGACATGTAGTCCGCAAAGTGGTACTGCCGAAATCACATGTCAGAAGTGTGTTGGGGGAGCTTCATTGTAGCCATTCGGGATGACATTTTGGTACTAAAAGAACACTGGCACGAGTTCGGAAAAGATTTTATTGGGTCAATTTTATTAGATGTAGCGGATTTGTGTAAAAAATGTGATGTATGTAATAGCATGACAAAGGTCTACAGATTCGCTCGGGACGACTGAAAGCCAACAGCGTGTAATATGATCTTGTTATTTTATCTATTTTTATAGTGTTTTAAGCTCTTATGATTTTGGGGAGTGGGTCAGGTTATTAAACAACTCGTATTACTTTGAAAAAGAATGTTGAGGGCCACTATATGTAAAACTTTCAAAACTTGACAATCGATTGATGATAAAAATATAGAAAATCACTAACCATTAAGATATTATAATTAAATGAGGTTTCAGATAAGGCAGCGACAAATTCTAATTCACAGAGACTTACTTATTCAAATTTAACTGGTCTATTCAAGACTTATCTGTTATAAAGGAGGTAATATTTCAGGAGTGACTGTTGAGGACTTCTTCGAAGGGATTCGTATGATGTACTTCGGATATCACCAGCTGCTAAGTATAAATCTTCCTAGGTAAACTTAAATCTCATAAACTTCTTTAGATGACTCAAACGAAACCTCTTGATATACTTGAAATAAACTTCTGTAGCTGGAACTAAACTTCTAAGTTTCTATACTTCTAAACATGCAGCTTGTACGTTCTTCCAAACTTCTAAACAATCTTTTTCGATATTACTTCTACAAAACCATCTTTATACAGCCAGTCTACAAGGGAAAAGATACAAATATCAAGAAAGGATCCAGGAAGTTTAGATAGGAAACAGATAGAATGCTTTTTACTATCAAATGCACAATTTAATACTATTATTTAAATAGCTTCACAGAGACCAAAATTAATATGAAAAGGAAAAATCTTATTTAACATATTTAAATATAGTAAAGCATATTATCTCTTTCCTAACAAAATAATATTTAATATTATATAAAATGGATTATCATGTGTTAATCAATGTTGAGGTTATGTTTTAGATTTGACATTTTAATTAGAAATTCTTGTACAAAATATATATTTTCAACAAAATATGGGTAGTAAACTTACCTTTTTAAAATCAGACGGTCATTCAAAATATTAATAGACAATTAGTACATCGGATGTCCTAGATAAAAGATCATTTTCAAATTAACCTATTTGTTGACAGATACAAAATCTAAATGAATTACCAACTTTAGACATAAGGGCATAAACGACAAATGACATTTGTGTAGAGATGTTGGTGTCAAAATAACGAAAACGGTTCCGACCGTTACAATGTTTGGGTCTAAATAACGAAAACGGTTCCAACCGTTACAAGCGATAATACAGAAGCTAGAATCGACAAGCGTGCCCAGGTACACAATTTAAGAGAGGGAACCCAGTACGGCTGTGCAATCCCAAGCACCGAGGAGGATTTTTTCAGAAATTGCAACGGAACTGGGAAGGCCCATACGCCGCCCTTAAGGAAAATCAACGACCTGATCTACCGCATTTGACAGTCAGCGGGAAGTAAATACAAGATAGTTCACATTGAAAAGTTAGCGCCATGTCGTGGTCCAGATCTTTCTCGCTAGCTCAAACCAGGTCCCAGTAATCAAGTTATTCGGGGCGAATAACTAGAGAGGAGGGAGCAATGTTGCGCATCCTGCAACGTGCTGCGGTAGTCATAAGTAAAGGTACGACTATGTCACAAGAAACCAGAAACGGCCAAATACATACTGTGCTAATGCGAAGCTCTAGATATCAAAAGACAGGCTCTTTTTGGACAACCCCAGGTTGATCCAACAACGTATAGAACCCGCTCACCCAAGGATCTGTACAAACTTGTACAAGGTACAAAGGTGACAGAGTGAGTGCTATGAACTAACATGGGGTAAAACACAATAAGCCAATAGGCTTCAGTGTTATTCGGAGACACATAGTCAGACGAGCCCAGGAGAAAAACAAAGTAAAAGTACGAGTAAATGACGAAGATATAATAGTCCAGAAAAGTCTCGAATATGTTATTCCTTGTCAAAGAAAAATCTGGATTTTTTGAGAAGGTTCTAGAAGGTTGAGGCGAGCTATAGAAGTCGAGAACCTGACGTCAGAGATCAGTTTTATGATAGACGTTATACGTTAATGTTATTAGTTGGATAGTTATTGTTAAAGTTGAATTGAGTTATTGTAAAAGTTGAATTGAAAAAAATTGTGATACCAAAAACCTGCGTAACAGTATAATAATTTACTTGATAAAGTTAGGTTTTTTTAACAATTTTATTGAACAGCTTCAACGGTTGTTAACGAATCTAGATCGGCTAGGAAAACTCTACTACTTAAAATCACGTGATGTTGTGTGGTTTCGGTGCGATGTATGTAGGCTTCTTGTATTGTGCAAGTGCAATCCTTTTTTAGTACTGATAGAGTTATAGAACGAAGAGGTTCGCTTAGGCGCTACAAAAATACTTCGCGTAAAGTTCTTGTCTTTGAATGATTTGTTCATTACCGTTTGTTGTTTTTTATTTAATTAATCGTTAAAGATGGATGGTACTGTTAAGGCAATTAATTCTGGATCTAGAAAGAAAAGATCTAGATAATCACAACGTAATATTTCAAAAAGGCAAAGGTAATGTAGATATTTTTAGAATAACGGGAATTTTTTTTATATCTTTTTTCTATTTTAGATATTCTAATGCAGATCCTAATTTGGATGCTTTCCAACGGCCTTGTAACCATAATACCAAAGCATTTCAATGCAGCTTAGTAAAAATAAGTGATATTACAAGAGCAAGAGAAAAATTTTATTCAGAACCTGTAAAGACCATACAAGATCAAAAACTTTGTCATCTAATATCGGTAAGTGAACCGAAAAGAAAGAGACAGAGGTGTCGAGACCAGCCGAGAAAAAAGAGCCAAAATCCTTAAAAGCTACCTATTTTCCTCTAAGGACCGAAATCGGCGCTTCCAGTTTGCCGAGGATTTTTTTAGTCGTTTTTGGAATAACAAAAAATAGGATAATGACTATTTTAAAAACTATTCATGAGGGTGAAATTCCAAAAGAAAAACGAGGTGGTAATAGATATGCCAACCCATCCGCCTCCCCTAAAAAAAAAAAAAAATAAAAGATTTCCTCAATAAACTACCTGCAACTGAAAGCCATTATACTAGAAAAAAATCATGTAGGTCATACCAGTCAAGTGAGCTAAATTTAGCAACTTTATTTAAAATGTATTACATAAAAATCCTGGTTTTGTTGTGTATTCTACTATGAATTCAATATTGGTTTTTCATCTCCAGCTACGGATGTTTGCGGTACTTGTCTCAATCTAAAGAATGTTATTAAAAAAAAAGAACAAGCCGAGAAGGCAAAACTAATGGCTCAACTGAGGATTCATAAATTGCGTGCAAATGCTTTTTATACCCATATGAAACAAACGTCCCCTAATAGCTTGTCTTTTTGTTTTGATTTGCAACAGATCCACCCATTACCAAAGACACCAATTCAAGATGCATTTTATTTAAGGCAGATCAGCTTTTATGCATTCTGTTGCGTTGATGTAAAATCCAAAAATCCAGTGTTTTATACGTGGAAGGAGATTCAGGCGAGTCGCGGCTCTAAAGAAATTGGTTTGGCTTTGTTGACACACCTGAGATCGCTAAGTTTGAAAGGAATACAGACCCTTAGGTTATTTTGTGACGGATGTGGAGACCAAAATAAAAACGCCCATATTGTCCACGTTTTGGCATTCCGGCTTAGAAAAGAAGTCCCTCCTTCTGTTAAGGATATCATCGTTACATTTACAGTTAGGGGCCACTCGTACCTACCAGCTGACAGGATTTTCGACCGAGTTGAAAAAATACTAAAGAAACATTCAGTCATTCTTAACGCTGACGAATATAAAAGGTATTACGGGGAAGTTGGTAGGGTTCGTAAACTAGGAAAGGAGTGGAAGTTGTATGACATTAAAAAGTTGTCTGAAACAACTTATAATAAAATAACTAGAATGAAAGATTTTAAAAAACTTTACTTAAAGACATTTATTAATCCTGATAATGGTAAGCTAACTGCTTAATACAAAGGAAGTGAATTCTTTAATTACGATGAATTAAAACCCTACGTGTCTATGGTTAAAAGAGGTTGTTCTAAGGAAAACAGCAGTTTAAATCTTCTGCCCCTCGGCAACGCTGTTTCGGCAGAAAAAAATAATAACGTTAAAACTCTTTTAGAGAAACAATTCAACAATAAGGATCTTCAATAGCAGGATATACCTGAATTAAAGTTCTACCAAGAAATTCTGATAGATAATACCTCCCAAACCATAGAGGAAGATGATCATGAAGAACCATGCGATTGCACCGAAGAAGATCATGCTAATCACATCTAGTTTTTTTCTTCTTGTTTTTCATATGTTTTAAGTTTTGTTTGAATGTTAGTTTTCATTTAAAACAAATGTTACCAAGCATTTTTATATTCTACTTTAATAAAAAATCATACCATTTTCAAACAAAACCAGACAAATTCATCTTATGTTCAAACAAAATCAGACATGTCCATTTATTTTTCTGTAATTTTCGATTCATTTTTTTTCTCATTTTAAAAATAATAAGTGTCATATTAACATTAAATTGTCCCCTATAACATCTCATAATTTTGATATTTTTAATTTTAAGGTCTTAGGAGTAAAAAGTTCTTCGTGTTTTTCTCGAAACTACTTTAAGTGGACATGTCTGCTTTTGAATGAACGCTCCTCATATATAGATTATATGATTTTAGAAGTGATATAATAAACCCAACGGTTTAACCGTATTATATTTAAAAAAAAAACGAAAAGATTTAACAATAAAACTAAATTATCTTGAGAATGGGCCATCCCTTTCAGTAGAGAAAAGGACAAAAAGATTTTTAGATTGTAAATATGCAATAAAGTCGAAATATAGAAAAATGCAAACATTATCAATGCAAACTGGACGAAGGCCTCAAACTGAGTTAAAATTATATGATCTTGAAGAACGAGGTCTTTCAGATTGGGATTAAGTTACAATTACTGTGGTAAAGAATGTCACACTCTATGAGGGAATAGAAATTGATGTTGCTAAGTATGAGGGCATAGATATAGATATTGATGTAACTCATGAGGGCATAGGAACTAATAACATAGACGATAAAGAAAATGCTAATGAGGTAGAACATGAAGCTAATGAAGAGAATGTAGAACTTATTTACATAGACGCACCTGCTTCACAAAAGATTGAATCAAGAAAAAGAACAAAAAATAATGCTCTGTCCGTGCTTCCAGAAAATCTGATAGAACATTTTAGTATATTTTCTAAAAGCCAAGAGGCTATTGTGCAAGTTTTGAACAAGAACATTAAAAAAAATGTTCAAAGAAATTAAAATTAAAGCGGCAGCAACTGCAAATTATTGAAAATGCAAAATTTAATGGATTGATGGAATGTATTCGTGTGTTTTGAGTTCTTTTAATTTATTTAGAAAATAGTTTTAGTTTAAATTAAATATTGTTTTTGTTTTTGATTTTTTCTTGTTTTTACCATTTACATATATTTTTTAGTTTATTTTGGTTTGTATAAAATATTTTGTTTTTTTGAGATTTTTATGAATTTTATATTTAATATAATGAAAGTTTATTTAATAAAAGTTTATTTAATAAAAGTTTATTTAACAAAAGTTTATTTAATAAAAGTTTATTTAATAAAAGTTTATTTAATAAAAGTTTATTTAATAAAAGTTTATTTAATAAAAGTTTATTTAATAAAAGTTTATTTAATAAAAGTCTATTTAATAAAAGTTTATTCAATAAAAATTTATTCAATAAAAGTTTATTTACTAAAAGAAATATAATACAAAAAAAGAAAAAGGCATAAATAATAATCCAAGTATATAAACAACATGTGGCAATAAGTCTGAGACTTAAATGCAGGTTTAGCCATTTTGTGTTTGACAGGCAATAATAGTTATAGTTAAATAAAGGACAAAACTGAAACAAAGATATTTCTACAACATATGAGAATCACCATAATGTTAGTTAAATAAAATATAGAATTTTTATGGTTAGGAAAAAATAAATAAAAGACCTGTGTTTAATAGTTGGTATATTTTTATACCTAGTTTTTAAAAATATATTAATTTAAAATATTTTTTGTATGTCCTGCTTGTACATGATCTAAAATAATATATGAAATTTATTAGGAAGATATGTAGTTATGTAATTATTACTGTTTATAATTATTTCTTCTTCGGCATACTCTATTTCAACTTCAGGCAATATGAAATTTGCATGTAATTTCATATTATGTAGAATAAAGCATGTATACAGGGTGACTGGTAAGTGGACGTATTCATTTGAGGAGGTAAATGCAGAGCCTATTTGCTACCGATTAAAAATAATTGTAATTATGTAACATGATACTTGTTATTTTATATATTTTTTTAGTGTTTTAAGCTCTAATGATATTGGGGGAGTGGGTCAGGTTATTAAATAACTCGTATTACTTTGAAAAATAATATGTTGAGCGCCACTATATTTAAAACTTACTAAACTTGAGTATCGATTAGTGATAAAAATATAGAAAATCCTAACCATTAAGATATAATTAAATAAAGTCTTAGATAAAGTAGCAACAAATTCTAATTCACAGAGACTTACTTATTCAAATTTAGATGATTTATTCAAGACTTATCTGTGAACAGGAGGTAGTATATAAGGAGTTTCTTGTAGAGGCCTTCTTCAAAGGGATTCGTATAATACACTTCGGATATCACCAACTCGTAAGTATAAATCTTCATAGGTAAACTTAAATCTCATAAACTTCTTTAGATGACTCGAACTAAACCTCTTGATATACTTGAAATAAACTTCTGCAGCTGGAACTAAACTTCTAAGTTTCTATACTTTGATAACTTCTATATCTTCTAAAACTTCTATAAACCATCTAGATATAGCCAGGCTACAAAGGAAAAGGTAAAAATATCAAGAAAGTTACTAGGAAATTTAAAGAAACCAGATAGAATGCCATTTACTATTAATTAAACAATTAATACTATTAAGTGAATAGCTTCACAGAGACTAAAATTAATATGAAAAGGAAAAGTCTTATTTAACATATTAAAAAATAGTAAAGCATATTATCTCTTCCAAACAAAATAATATTAAAATAATGCAAAACGTTTTATCATGTGTTACTCAAGTATTTGAGGTTATGTTTAAAATTTTACATTTCATTCAAGAAATTATTGTACTAAATATATATTTTCAACAAAATATCGGTAGGAAAACTTACCTTTTTAAAATCAGACGGCCATTAAGAATATTAATAGACAATTAGTACATCAGATGACCCAGATAATTAAAAATTTAATAAATCAACTTGCTTGTTGACAGAGACGAATCGAAATGATAGTCCAACTTTTGACATAAGGCATAAACGACAAATGACATTTGTGTAGAGATGTTGGTGTCAAAATAACGAAAACGGTTCCGACCGTTACAATGTTTGGGTCTAAATAACGAAAACGGTTTCAACCGTTACAGTCTATATCATTCTTAACGGTTTTCGAGATTTTTTTATTTTTAATAGATTCACTTCTTAACATATTAAGAGCCTTTTTAAATTATAAGATGATACACTTATACAAATATCAATGGTGAAAATTATTGAAATTCTAATGTTAACTATAAATTATTTTAGTTTAAACTTAACTTTTCTTGCCATGTTTTTAACTAATGCTCAAACAATTCAAAAATTTTATAGTACATCATACGTATTGTTAATAGTTCTCCATCTTTTAAATAAGTCACATTATTTCAATTAGCTTTTTGCTTTATTATTAACTAAATAATTTTTATTTACTGGTTTTATTTTCGCATTTATAAGAGGTAACACTTTTTTGCATTCTTTTCTTATCGCATTTTGGTATAATACTGAAGAAAGTTGGTATTTATCAATACAAAATATGTATTAATTTTTTGAATTATAAACAACAAGAAAATGTAGTTTCGGTTTAACGTCGATAGTTTAGATCTAAGCAGTTCTGCTTAAAATCTTTGCCGTTTATTTACGGTATTTAAATTGGCAACGTTTACTTATGCTAAATGTGCTGATATTTTATTTATTTATGATTTTTCTAATGAAAATGCAGCTGAAGCTCAACTAGAATGTGTACGTCGCTTCCCAAATACGCGCATTCAGCATGTAAGTGTGTTTGGTGCAACCTACCGTCGTATTTCAAAATCAGGCAGCTTTCAACGGGTAGAACGTGTAGAAGCTCCTTCTGTAGACGCCAATTTTAAGACTACTTGAAGAAGATCCAACAACAAGCACAAGAAATTTTTCCCGTCAGCTGGGTGTTTCAGAATGGAAGATATGGTCAGTCGTTCGCCAAAATGGTCTTCACCCATTCCATTATATACCTGTGCAAGGACTAGATGAGGGTTATCCGGAGCGCAGTGTCCAATTCTGCCGATTTATTCTGAATGCCGATGTTTAGTATGCTTCATTTTTAACGAGAATTCTATGGTCCGTGAATTAAAATTTAGTAGAGAAGGAATAACACATTCATAATTTGCACTATTGGACCGAAGATAATTTGCATCAGAAGAAACAAATTGGTTTCAAAAGAAAATTTAGTGTCAATGTATGGATGGGAGTTATTGGCAATAATTTAATTGATCCTCCATTTTTACCTAATAACCTTAACTAGACGCAAATATTAAACCATTTATATTTGATTATGACACACTATATAATTTTCCAGAATTAGTCGCGAAACCTGTAAATTAGCAGAAATATATCCACAAACAGAACAATAAAATTAAAAATATAAAATTACTAAAATTAAAAACAAAATTTTGTCTGACGTTTCCTCACATGAGGATGATAGCGATGCATCTTCTATATTCTGACAAAAATGAATAATTTTATTCTTCAGTGGAATCTTAATGGTTATTTTGTTCATACCGAAATGCTTAAACTCCCAATTAATGAATACGATCCCGTAGTTAAGTGTCTCCAAGAAACACATTTTTAAAATAATAAAAAGAACAATACAAGAAATTTTTTAATATAACAAAAAGAACAATCCAAGAAATTATCAAGGTCTACAAAAACCGAACTAATACACACAGTGGCAGCGTTGCTACCTTCGTCAAAAATAATATTGAAGCCAAAGAAATTAATTTACTAACAAATATAGAGGCGGTTGCAGTTACTGTAATATATAAGAAAACAATATATGCAAAGTTTATCTTCCCTATCCAACATAAATTGATATACAAAACCTTCAACATCTTATAGATCAAGTCCCCTTAACAGAAAATTATATTAGGGGAAACAAATTCTCACAATGAGGAATGGGGCTACATTAAATCAGATAAAAATGGAAAACTACTTTTAAATGTAATAAATAAGAACTTCCTAATTCTTCTTAATAATGGTAAACCTACTTTCTTCAACGCAGCAAATGGTACCTTTTCAGCTCTAGATATCTCCTTATGTAACTCGACATTAGCCTTATCTCTAAACTGGTCCACTCTAGAAGACTTATATCAGAATGACCATTTTCTAATAATAATAAACCTGGAAAATGAAATCTGCCACCTGGATTTCTTACCAACAAACTATAGAAGGGGTCTTCTCGCCTCTGAGAAAATTGTCCCTTTGGCGCTGATTACGGGCGGCTCTCGAGCGCCAGATTTTTGGTAATGGTTTACTCCACAAACTCTCGAAGCGGCGTCGAAAGTACTCGGGTAGTTACAGATTGAGACGAAAAATTCCAGGGGCCAAAGGTCACTTAGACACAAGTAATGGTAGGCCACAAGTAACTGGCTTTAATCGTTGCTTGTGCTGGTACAGAATTGATCACTAGCTGAAATACAAGGGGGAAATAAAGTATGGAATTAGTAACCAGTAATATGGCAAGTTATCGTTGACACATATATTGTTTCAAACTATTTACAACATAAAAAGAAATTAATTAAGGTATTTCAACGCCCACCCTTACGGTAATATGTACAAACCCTGAACAAAAATAAACAAACAAAACGGCCGGAAATGACTTCCGAATAGCCTTAATCAGACGTAAACAAAAATGAAGTCAATAATTGTTGTAATCACGGTTGCAGCAAAAGTTTATTATTGAACTGTCTATTCGGTTGTTGAGCTAAAAATGTAACTTGCTATTTCGTTCAGGAGAAATATTAATTCGGTCGTAGGAAAAATTTACTATCAGACTATTTTTACGGAAACAGGAAAAATTAATTATTTAATAGTTTAATCGTTAAGCAAACTAAAAATGCAATTTATTATTTTTCTACAGAAAATAATATTTACGGTCGTAGGAAAAATTAACTGTTGAATTGTCTAATTGGTATTTACAATCAAATGTAATTGAATGCTTCGGCAAAGCAAAATTGCATATACGGTTGCAGAGAATGCGAGGAGACAGGTTCGTGACAGTACTACTTTCAGGGCCGAAACCGGGACTCTATAAAAAGTTTACTCAAACTACTGGTTGGAAACCAACTAATAACCGGGATAGCACATTATCTCTGAATGAAGTAATCGTAATCACGAGCCGCTTCAGACAGGGGAATGATACTATTTAAGTTTACTTAAAATAACGGAGACTTATGCAAATGAGTGTTTCAGATGTAATATACTAATAACCGGGATAGCACATTGTCTCTGAATGAAGTGATCGTAATCACGAGACGCATAAATTTGCGGTTCGGAGTATAAAATAAAAGAAAATGTCTCGTCGCAAATCTATTAAGGTAACAAATCAAGATATTAGACAATTCCCAAACAGTTCCGACCAATTATTTATTGGTTAAAGCTTTAAATAAAATTACGATTTTTCCATGGAAATTTACGGAAAAAGAAGAAGAAATTTTCGCAAATTATTAATAAAATAACTCCAGTCATAAATATTATGAACCTTTTTTTCTACAACATAAATATACGAAACAGAAAAATCCGAAATTATCATTAACAAGTCAGATGACGATTTACACTCAAAAATAATTTATGAGGTACTAATAGATGCCCTAAATGACTCAAAAACAACCTCTCCTGGTCCCCATGACATACCAAATTTTCAGTTGGTTGGCCCCAAGCTTACATTATTACCTTAAATAAGTCTTACAAACCCAAAAATAATCCTTTTTCCTACCGCCCAATATCGTCACCTGCAACGCCTGTAAATTATTAGAAATAATTCTGAACAATAGATCAGCATGGTTCCTGGAGAAGGAAAATCTTACTATACGTCAGCAAAGTGTATTTAAAAAAATAGAAATACCATGGATAATATTATAACGCTTCAATCAGAAATTACAGGGGCATTTTCAAATAAACAAAACCTAATTGCAATTTTTTTTGATATAAGTAAAGCATTCGATAGAGCTTGGAGGCACTATATCCTCGTCAACATAAAAAATTGGGGTACAACAGGAAATTTTTTAGCATTTACAAAAAACTTCCTAAGTGACAGAACCATACAGGTAAAAGCTAATGGAACACCCTGTACACAGATACTAATAACAAATGGAACTCCTCAAGGAGCGATCTTGGGTCCCACTTTCTTTATGATAGAAATTATTAATGTCTTAAATATGATTAATCTTCCTATAAAAGCATTGCTATTCGCAGATGACTTTCTCCATTATTTTTAATAAGAAAACTTATCGTTGTATTTACCAAAGAAAAACTGATGTGATGTCTGTATGGCCTTTGAAACGAAAAATATTTCTCAAGAAGACTTCGACCTTCACAAGGTTTTGAAGGATGAAGCCCGTGAAGAGAAAAATAAGACAAAGCATCGGAGAATGAGGACCTGCAATCCGTTTTACTGTCTCCCAAATCTAATGTAAGCGCCCTATATTACAAAACAAAACTTATTGTACACAATTTCACGATATATGATAAATATAAAAAAGGTGAATGTTTTTTGTGGAACGTGATAGAGGGAAAAGTTACGGTAAATGAGTTTTCCACAATTATTGTAAAGTATTTGAAAAATCAAAGTGCACCGAAATAAAAAAAAAACGTTGAGTTTATTCTATACAGCAACGGCTGCGCTGCTTAAAATAGAAATAGAGTTTTGTCAAATGCACTATTTAATTTAGCTGTGGAACAAGATATTACTGTAATTCAAAAATTTTTGCTCAAAGATCATACTCAGGTGGAAGCGGATAGTATGTATTCCACTTAGATAAAAGAGACCAGAGATATAACATACACCGGTGTTTAACCTGCGCAAATGTTGCCAATTTCTAAAGAAAGGTTAACGAAGTGGGGGAACTGGGCAGGGACCCGAACTCTGTGACAGGGACCGGACTTTGTTTATTAGCATCATAATGAACTATTAGATTTATTTAAAATATACGTTCAATGGAATTTTGTATTATGAAATAAATTTAAGGTGATTTTTTAATATCAAACAGATGCCACGACATTTTATGTAAAGAGAAGACCTTTTATAGAATATTTCGTTAGCTATTATTTACTACGGACTTTTCTGTAAGAGACTACAGGAAAATGTTGAAATAGAATATTGTTAATCGAGTAAAAAATGGTACTCATTGTCGAAGAGTATTATAAAAAAAAGCATGTACGCAGGCGAATACTGCAAATCAAACCTTGTGAGTTGAACATTATATTTTTTCTACGACTATCACATAATATTAAAAATTAGTCAAAATATGAAAATGCTGTTTTGTATTATAACCTCAGAAAAAAGTATATTAAAGCTTGTTTCTTTAGAAATATTAATTAATATAGAGGATGAGTAACATAAAACTCTATAAATGCATATAACTGAAACCAGATAACATTTTAAAATTTAAACCTATTAAAAGTCATTTGGTCGCTAGGAGTGGGTGATTATCGAAATAAATTATTGATTATTAATAATATTCGATTATTTTCGATAAATCGATTATTTTCAAACAATCTATTTTTGTTCGTATTTCCTTTAAAATCGACTACTTGATTATCTTTGAAAAATCAAAAATAGATTAATTATAAAGCCAATTAACCGATAAATCAGTTTTACAAAAAATAATAAACGAATTATCGTTTATTTTAAATAATCGATTATTTTTAAATAATCTATTTTTTTTTTTTTTCGTATTTTCATTGAAACAGATTATTCGATAATCTTTGAAAAATCTAAAATAATCGATTAATCAAAAATAATCGATTAATTAAAAAGTCGAGTAATCGATAAATCGATTTAAAAAAGAATTATTTCCTTTAAAATCAATTATTCGATCATTTTTAAATCATCGAAAATAATCGCTTAACCGAAAATAATCGATTAAAGGAAAATAACCAATTAATTAAGAAGCCGAATCTACGATAAATCGATTTTCCAAAAAAATAACTGAATTATCGATTATTTTCAAATAATACTTTTGTTTTCATATTTCATTTAAAATAGATTATTTGAAAAATCGAAAATAATCGATTAATAAAAAGCTGATTGACCGATAAATTGATTCTAAATTCTAAAAAATAACCGAAATATCTATTATATAAAATAACCGATTATATTCGATCAATCGATTATTTTCATATAATCTATTTCGCATTTCTTTTAAAACAAATTATTCGAATACCTTTGAAAAATTGAAAATAATCGATTAATCGAAAATATTCGGTTAATCGAAAATAACCGATTAAGGGTCATTATCAAAAAGTGTTTAATTTATGGTCACAGCTATATGCACGATTCAAAACATACAAAGTACTAATTTTTATCACTGTGTCTCCAAGTGTGATTCTTACGAAAGTCTCGCACTTAGTTATTTCGATATTGTTTGATTTTTTTTTGAAAATACAGGTTCACGGAGGAAGAATAATCTAGCTCCGTTATCAGTCACAACCTGATTACCTATTCTTAAAACGGCTGAAAATATCGTATTATTTAAAATTGTATCAAGGCATGTGCAGTGCTAATTGTCAGAAGTATAGTTTTTTTGATCTTCAAATAATCAATATAACGATCATAAGAATTGCTGTCACAAGAATTTCGAACTTCTCCATGATCATATATGAAATTATTTATAAAATGGTACAATAGAGAGCGCTTCAGTCGCTTATATAGGAAATACATTCTTAGAAAGGCTTTAGTTGCAACTTGATTGTTGAACAGTGCGTGTGTTGAAGTTCAGAGGTGAGTAAAGTGTTTTAATTGCGTATAAAAGCGCTTCGTCAAACATACATAATATTCTCCGTTATCATATTTTTTTATAATTTAAATAGTGATTTGATGAATTGTTTTGATGTTAACAGATTTATATTTACATATTATATTAAAATATTGTTTGTTTCTCTATAAACTACAGAGTAAAATCACAAAGCTACCAAGTTTTTCTTCTCCGTGATAACTTCTCCGTTATTAAATCGTGATCACGGAGTATAAATATGATAACGGAGGCCATTATATAGTCTTTTAATAATGTTATATTATTTTTCTTCTTTATATAGATAAAAATGGCTTCAAAAAAATATAACACTGAGGAAGAGAGGATTAAGAAACGGAGAGAGCAGGTGAAACTAAATATGAGAAGAATGCGAGAAAGGATTAAGAATGATCCAGTTAAGCACGAAGAAGAAAAGCAAAAAGAAAGAGATCGCTGGAAAAGAAGATTGTAGTCTGGGAAAATAGTAAATATCAAAGATATGAGCGACAAGAAGCAGCGAACCCTAAGAAAAAGGTGGAGAGAAAAGGCAAAATCCAAAAGAGAGCAGTGCAGGGAATCTAAGAGACTAAACAGATATCTAGAAGAAAGATCACCACCACCACCAAGTCCTCTGCCAAGAGAACCTTAAGAGATAGAACAAGCTGCAGATGCTGCAGACACTCCGAAAATTAGTAGACAGCAAGAATCAGGAAAAAAAGAGCAAGAAGAAATAGAGAAAACATGAAGAAAAAGATAGAAAACTTAAAAAGAAATGTGGCAAATTTGGAAAAAAATTAAGTAAATATAGAAAAAAACTATCTAGAGTTAAGAACCGAAAGTCGAATAATAAAATACCTAATTTTGACAAGCATACGCTCATTACAAAGACAACTCAGAAAAAACCAACTTCGTTCAAGTGAAAATTGTTAAAACGACAAAAGATGAGATAAAAAAATATTTCTTTTTAAGAGGCTTTAGTTCACATGGACTTTTCTGAGAATTATGGATGCAAATATGCAGCTGAAGTACAGTCGGCTCATTTTGGCGCTTCAAAGCCTCAAATTTCTCTACATACGGTTATATTTTACTATCGGTGTCCATTAACGAATTCAGTTAAACACGTAAGCTGCTGTAGTTTGTCTAAGGAGCTGAGACACGATCCTGCAGCAATATGTGCCCATTTGGTTCCAATTTTTAAGCATCTTAAGGAAAAAGTGAAGAACCTGAGAAAAATAGACTTTCTTAGCGATGGGCCAACAACGCAATATAAAAATAAAAAGATGTTCTACCTGATTTGCACCTTTATAGCAAAAACTCTTGAAGTGGGCTCTTTGAGTTGGCACTACAGTGAAAGTGGTCACGGAAAGGGCGCTCCAGATGGAATTGGCGGTGTTGTTAAGCGCACAGCTGACAGAATTGTGGCACTTGGAAAGGATGTTTCAGATTTTGATGTATTGGTTGAAACTCTGGGAAAACACATAAAATATGTTTAAATTATTACTATCAACGAAGCTGATATTGTTTATTTTGATGCTTTACTTCTTCAAGCCGATTTGCAAGTATTCAAAGGAACCTTAAAAATACATGAGCTGTTTTGGATTAAATCAGATCCATCTAGAATAGAATGTCGTTCTTTGACATGCACAGACTGTTCAAATATTATAAACTGCTCTCATTATTACCTTGGTCATATTGAATTAAAAGAGAAATTGATGGTTGATTCGGATGTGGACTCAAATTTAGACGTTCCTTATACGTTGAAAACAGATAAAATGAGAATAAGTGATGTTTATGGTTCTAGTAGTGACGATGAAAATAAAGAAAACATTTCATTGAACGACCAAATTATGGAGCTTGAAGAGAATAGCTTCTATATTGTTCAATTTTTTGGACGAGACAGAGTCGTTCATTATATAGGTCAAGTTATACATCATGATAAGACAACTGATGAAATAAAAATAAAATTCATGAGAAGAAAAGGAAAAATAAACGAAGATATAAGATTAGCTTTTCCATACAAAGACGATATTTCTTTTGTCGACAAGAAAGATATTGTTTTAAGACTAAGAAATCCAGGAGTTAAACGAGGTCAATATTTTTTTGAAGATACGGAATTAGAAAAAATTTTAAACTTACAATAAGCTTGTTTTTGTAATGTTTTTTAAATAAAAATTTGTAAAAGTTCACTCCGTTATCTTTACTATCCTCCGTTATCATATTGTTGTTAAAAACATTGTTTTTTATCGAAATATTAAAAATTAAGCACAGCCATTATTAAAGCTTCAAAAGCACAAACCTAAGAGAACTAATAATAATATTTGTTCATCTGTCAGAAAAAACTCAAAATATTCACGGTTGTTTAGTCATTTTTGAGAATGACCCTTAGGCGAAAATAACCAACTAATTTAGAAGCCGATTCTACGATAAATCGATTTTCCAAAAAAAATAACTAAATTATTGATTATTTACAAATAATCCTTTTCTTTTTTCATATTGATAATGGATTATTTAATTTTCTTTGAAAAATCGAAAATAATAGATTAATAAAAAGCTGATTGACTGATAAATCGATCATTCTAAACAATAACCGAAATATCGATTATATTATATAACCGATTATATTCGATCAATCGATTATTTTTATATAATCTATTTTTTGTATTTTAAAACAAATTATTCGAATACCTTTGAAAAATCGAAAATAATCGATTATTCGAAAATATTCGGTAAATCGAAAATAATCGATTAATTTAAAGAGTCGATTAAACAATAAATCGATTTTTCTAAAAAAAAAAAAACGATTATTTTTAATAAATCGAATATTTTGAATAAATCTACTCTCTTTTTGTAATCCCTTTATAATCGATTATTCCATTACCTAAAAAAAAAAACGAAAACAATTTATTGAAAATGTTCGATTAATCAAAAATAATCGATTATTTATAACGGATAAATCGATTTTCATGAAAACGATAAATCGATTTTCATGAAAACGATAAATCGATTATTTTTGTAACTCCTATCGGTCGCATGCTTTTATCCGAGCATTTATCTCCAAAATTTAGAGATTCGGATTTATTGATCCTGTTATCTTTGAAACCGCATTTGATTGTATAATAAATATTGCTAGAATTTAGATTTTTTTTAGTAAACGAAGATTTTTTTTTTTTCGAGTTGTTTAGGGGTTTATAATGTAACATTTTACTAATAATATGACTAATTTCCGTAACTTTAGTATTTTTTTGCTTATACTAGATCATATTGTGCGTTTTAATTTGTTTTAAGACTTAAGATTCAAATGTCACTTCCGATTAAACCGCAAATAAAATGAACCTTGAAATTTTAAGTAGGCGAACCTGTATTTAATCTAATATTCTTGAAAAATACCTAATAAAGGGCTAAAAACCACCTTTAGTAAATATTCTTATAAAACTACTTTTTAAAAACAAAATTTCGTTAGTAACAATGCCTATTTACTTCTTATTTAGATTAAATGTTTAAAATTTTACTCTTGTAAATTAATGCATTATGAAATCTATTTTCTGAAATATTATGTATTTGAGGCTTAATATTTACTGAAACCCCTTAATGCGGATCTGAAGTATTCAGCTCAAAGAATCATGGCGATTTTAGGTCAAAACGTTAACAAATATTTACCGCTGAAAAGGAATATATTTCTTATTTTTCATAACATTGACACTTATATTATTTGTATATACAATTTTTCACCATACATCGTGGCATTTTCAACTTGAAATTGAATAACTAAAACACTTTAAATTGCTAATAACACCAACAAATAATTCAAAAAACGGCGTTCCATAATAATGATTTACTCAGGCGGAGACAAGCATAGAATAGAAATTTCGGAGCAATTTGGGTGGCGTCGTGAACACAATGATTTTTAATTGGTGGGTTACTTAGGGTTGGAATAGACAACGTGCGCGATGTGAAATGTTACATCTCCGGTCTCTTTTATCTAAGGTATTCAACTATCGAAAGAGCAATTCCAAAAACAAAAATAAATGTACCCGCTGATTATATGTTCATCTGCAGAAAGGTTTGTCAAAAAAATCCTTACATCAATATTTTAAAAATGTCGAGGCAAACATAAAGTTTTTTAAATCTATATACCCTGGCAAACGTGTCGGTGATCCCCCAAGTAAATGACCTTAAAGCAATAAAATAGACTAACTTAAATATATATTTCAAATTAAGGCACAGTGCCATTGAATGGACACCATATACAATCAGTTTGCCGTTAAATATCAAAATGTCAATTTTGAGGGCTTACCGTCCATGTATAACAATATATTTAGCATCAAGAAAGAAAAATATATCTACAACTGCTCAAGAAGAGCTTAGACCTAGACTACCATGCTTTTAACGATAATATACCTTATTATATTTGAAAATTTGATTTTTTTTTAATTATTTCATTAAAAGATTAGCAAATATCCGTTGATAGAAAAATACTTATCTCCTATACATAATCAATAAATAAGATCGCATAATACGTAACTCGTTCACTTTTCAAAAAAAGCTTGAATAAACACATTATTGTTTGATAAATTGTTTATTTACTTAATTTAAGCAAATGTATCAATATTTAGTTTATTTATCTAAAAAATAAAAGTTCCAGAGTTACGCGAGCGTATACAGCTGACATTCGGACTCCTTATCGTATCATATTATATTTCAGTGCTTAGCTTGTTATTTTAATATTTTACATTAATTCTCTAGTTTATTAAATCAGATTTTGTCTAGCCTTTGCCAAGCAAAGACGTTTGTAATTTTAATCAATAAAATTGTTTTTAAAAAACCTGTATCAGTTTCAAAATATATATTTCCAGTTGGTTTTTTAGCTCTCCTGTAAAATTAACCAAAATATAAAATAGAACAGCAAATCGATTGGTAACCAAAACTTTGCTAAACTAATTGTTTTTTTAGCTTTATTTTATCGGTGCCTATCATCACCAATAAAAGTATTTACCTAACGCTTAAAATTTATTAATTAAACATGTTAAAAGTCCAATTAGAAATAATTTAATAATTGTCTATTATAAAATATTAAAAATTATTTAAATTTTTTAAATGAAAAAAAGTACAGAATTTTTACTCGCTGCAAGGTGCAAATATTTAACTAGGCGCTGGTGAAGCAATTACGATAAAAAAACCGCCGTCCAGCTCGCCGGCGAGGCACGCGCCCCGACGTTTAAAAGGCGCTACCGTTTAATTATTAATAGAAGACCACATGTTAATCGAGACCAAATCTAATTCATTAAATTGAGCAGTTTTTTGAAACTAAAAAAAATAGCTATTTGCATAAAAGGGTTTAAAAGATATTGTCAGTTCGTTGTCTCATTTTAAATAATACAATTTTTTATTATATTTTACAAGCTATTGTAATAAAATACATACCAAAACAAAGCAAGTTGCATAAGGACTATTACAAAAAACTAATTTGTGTTTCAATTTATTTAGTGAAAAAGTTATGAGTGTTCAAAGTTACTAATGGAAAGAGTCGTCTATTTCCGTTTTCTATATAAAAAACATGCTTTTTCCAAAAATGAAGGTCCCATTTGGTTATACCTCAGTATTTTTAGCTCTGAAACTAGAGGGCTTTTGCGCCTTATCCGAAGGGGTGTATGTAGTTATATTTTGAGAAACACGACCTAAACGATTTGCTTCTTTTCACTTTACCAATACTTGTCGATAAATAAATAGCATGCAAAACTTAGATTTTATTGCTTACAGTTTCGCTGATTATCTTCTTTAAATGTAGATTTTAAAGAATGCACTTCACTTCACTTGAACGTCTTTGGCAATCTGTTGAAAAACTGTAGCTCAATCAATCAATCAATCAATCAATCAATCAATCAAATATTTATATAATTTTAATGAATATGTATTTTAACAACATATTAGGCAGGTAACGTAAATACGTGTTCCATTCACGCTGTATATGTATGTACCACTACTTATTATATTACTTGTGAATAATTTAAATAAAACGGGCGGTAACGATACACAAATAAGTTTCCAAATCGTACCTGTAAAAATTTTGCTCCATTCACTCCCAAGTAGATTTTTCTTAAACTGTGAAATACTCTTATTTGTTCTGAAGAGTATATTTACAAAGTACTGATAATTTTAAATACAGACTTTGTAATTAAAAATATCTAACAAGAACAATAATAATAATAATAATAATAATAATAATAATAATAATAATAATAATAATAATAATAATAATAATAATAATAATAATAATAATAATAATAATAATAATAATAATAATAATAATAATAATAATAATAATAATAATAATAATAATAATAATAATAATAATAATAATAATAATAATAATAATAATAATAAATAATAATAATAATAAATACAGATAAAATCAATCTAGAAGGTCAAAGAGCGGAGCAAATATAGAACTTCAAATACATTATACCACGATAAAAATATTGTTAAAAAATAAAATTCGATTTACCTTTTTAGTGACAAAACATCTCACAAATTACCAAACCAAAGAAGACTAAACTCAAAAGCTAGTCGCACTTTGATGTATTCAAAATAATAAATAATATCGAGCTATATCTTTTCGTATGAAAATGAAATTCAATTTTAATATTTATTCACAATTAAAATTATTTACTAGGTATTTTGATATACTAACTAAAATACTTACATTTATAGAGTTAACACTTAAAAACATACACAACTAATGAAACAACAAACTTTCTGTGTATTAATAACATTTTAAATTATTCACTTTTCTTAGAAGAGCATTAAAAATACTATCCTTTTGGAAAAACCTATTATATTTTATTAAGTGCATATTTGCAATATTTCAGTCTGATAAAGGATTATTTAAACTAATGTATTTAAATATGATTGTTTTGTTGTTATCGTTGCTGACATTTTTAAATAATTTTACATAATTAAAATAACTTAAAGCATAAAATAAAGTTAGGCATTAAAAAGCAGAAATTATGTACGACAAAAAATATAAAATTGACTTTGATTAACATACATACAGTAGTAAATAAATATACAGGGTGTTCCAGAATAATTCATCCAGGCTAGATTTCATGAACGAAGAGATATTTGGGTTAAAATTTAATACGAGATTTTCAGGGGCGCTTTATCGTTCTAAATTATTTTCACACTCAAAGTGAAGCAAAACTTTTTTATTCCAAATAGAATAATATTTTACATTTTTACTTTCCTATCTGTATACAGATATAAGGAAAGTATAGGAATCATGATTTTTTTCGACCTCGAGTTTTCGACGGATTTTTTCGTTTTGAGGTCCCCTGAATCCGTTTTGACTATTGTGTGTGTGTGTGTGTGTGGCCATTCGCATAATTCATACTATAGTAGTGTGGCCATCCTGAATTGTATGGCCATTTTTGGGACCCCACAAGTTAAAAGCAGCTTTAACGCATTCTACACGTTATGCTGATTCGAATGGTACCTACTTTAATACATTGTCCCCAAAAGTGATGTTATAGGTTGTGCCAAAATGTGTGCTAATCGATGAGATGAGAGCAAACATTGTGTGGACAAAGTAGTTGATCAGCAAGTGCTGCCCTCTTTAACCTCTTCATTCGGCGATCTATTTTACATGGATTATAACCTACCTTACGGGACAAGTGCAAATATTTAAAAGTTTTGAATATGTTATTTTTTTATATGTGTACGTGTACGTGTACGTGTACGTGTACGTGTACGTGTACGTGTACGTGTACGTGTACGTGTACGTGTACGTGTACGTGTACGTGTACGTGTACGTGTACGTGTACGTGTACGTGTACGTGTACGTGTACGTGTACGTGTACGTGTACGTGTACGTGTACGTGTACGTGTACGTGTACGTGTACGTGTACGTGTACGTGTACGTGTACGTGTACGTGTACGTGTACGTGTACGTGTACGTGTACGTGTACGTGTACGTGTACGTGTACGTGTACGTGTACGTGTACGTGTACGTGTACGTGTACGTGTACGTGTACGTGTACGTGTACGTGTACGTGTACGTGTACGTGTACGTGTACGTGTACGTGTACGTGTACGTGTACGTGTACGTGTACGTGTACGTGTACGTGTACGTGTACGTGTACGTGTACGTGTACGTGTACGTGTACGTGTACGTGTACGTGTACGTGTACGTGTACGTGTACGTGTACGTGTACGTGTACGTGTACGTGTACGTGTACGTGTACGTGTACGTGTACGTGTACGTGTACGTGTACGTGTACGTGTACGTGTACGTGTACGTGTACGTGTACGTGTACGTGTACGTGTACGTGTACGTGTACGTGTACGTGTACGTGTACGTGTACGTGTACGTGTACGTGTACGTGTACGTGTACGTGTACGTGTACGTGTACGTGTACGTGTACGTGTACGTGTACGTGTACGTGTACGTGTACGTGTACGTGTACGTGTACGTGTACGTGTACGTGTACGTGTACGTGTACGTGTACGTGTACGTGTACGTGTACGTGTACGTGTACGTGTACGTGTACGTGTACGTGTACGTGTACGTGTACGTGTACGTGTACGTGTACGTGTACGTGTACGTGTACGTGTACGTGTACGTGTACGTGTACGTGTACGTGTACGTGTACGTGTACGTGTACGTGTACGTGTACGTGTACGTGTACGTGTACGTGTACGTGTACGTGTACGTGTACGTGTACGTGTACGTGTACGTGTACGTGTACGTGTACGTGTACGTGTACGTGTACGTGTACGTGTACGTGTACGTGTACGTGTACGTGTACGTGTACGTGTACGTGTACGTGTACGTGTACGTGTACGTGTACGTGTACGTGTACGTGTACGTGTACGTGTACGTGTACGTGTACGTGTACGTGTACGTGTACGTGTACGTGTACGTGTACGTGTACGTGTACGTGTACGTGTACGTGTACGTGTACGTGTACGTGTACGTGTACGTGTACGTGTACGTGTACGTGTACGTGTACGTGTACGTGTACGTGTACGTGTACGTGTACGTGTACGTGTACGTGTACGTGTACGTGTACGTGTACGTGTACGTGTACGTGTACGTGTACGTGTACGTGTACGTGTACGTGTACGTGTACGTGTACGTGTACGTGTACGTGTACGTGTACGTGTACGTGTACGTGTACGTGTACGTGTACGTGTACGTGTACGTGTACGTGTACGTGTACGTGTACGTGTACGTGTACGTGTACGTGTACGTGTACGTGTACGTGTACGTGTACGTGTACGTGTACGTGTACGTGTACGTGTACGTGTACGTGTACGTGTACGTGTACGTGTACGTGTACGTGTACGTGTACGTGTACGTGTACGTGTACGTGTACGTGTACGTGTACGTGTACGTGTACGTGTACGTGTACGTGTACGTGTACGTGTACGTGTACGTGTACGTGTACGTGTACGTGTACGTGTACGTGTACGTGTACGTGTACGTGTACGTGTACGTGTACGTGTACGTGTACGTGTACGTGTACGTGTACGTGTACGTGTACGTGTACGTGTACGTGTACGTGTACGTGTACGTGTACGTGTACGTGTACGTGTACGTGTACGTGTACGTGTACGTGTACGTGTACGTGTACGTGTACGTGTACGTGTACGTGTACGTGTACGTGTACGTGTACGTGTACGTGTACGTGTACGTGTACGTGTACGTGTACGTGTACGTGTACGTGTACGTGTACGTGTACGTGTACGTGTACGTGTACGTGTACGTGTACGTGTACGTGTACGTGTACGTGTACGTGTACGTGTACGTGTACGTGTACGTGTACGTGTACGTGTACGTGTACGTGTACGTGTACGTGTACGTGTACGTGTACGTGTACGTGTACGTGTACGTGTACGTGTACGTGTACGTGTACGTGTACGTGTACGTGTACGTGTACGTGTACGTGTACGTGTACGTGTACGTGTACGTGTACGTGTACGTGTACGTGTACGTGTACGTGTACGTGTACGTGTACGTGTACGTGTACGTGTACGTGTACGTGTACGTGTACGTGTACGTGTACGTGTACGTGTACGTGTACGTGTACGTGTACGTGTACGTGTACGTGTACGTGTACGTGTACGTGTACGTGTACGTGTACGTGTACGTGTACGTGTACGTGTACGTGTACGTGTACGTGTACGTGTACGTGTACGTGTACGTGTACGTGTACGTGTACGTGTACGTGTACGTGTACGTGTACGTGTACGTGTACGTGTACGTGTACGTGTACGTGTACGTGTACGTGTACGTGTACGTGTACGTGTACGTGTACGTGTACGTGTACGTGTACGTGTACGTGTACGTGTACGTGTACGTGTACGTGTACGTGTACGTGTACGTGTACGTGTACGTGTACGTGTACGTGTACGTGTACGTGTACGTGTACGTGTACGTGTACGTGTACGTGTACGTGTACGTGTATGTGTATGTGTATGTGTATGTGTATGTGTATGTGTATGTGTATGTGTATGTGTATGTGTATGTGTATGTGTATGTGTATGTGTATGTGTATGTGTATGTGTATGTGTATGTGTATGTGTATGTGTATGTGTATGTGTATGTGTATGTGTATGTGTATGTGTATGTGTATGTGTATGTGTATGTGTATGTGTATGTGTATGTGTATGTGTATGTGTATGTGTATGTGTATGTGTATGTGTATGTGTATGTGTATGTGTATGTGTATGTGTATGTGTATGTGTATGTGTATGTGTATGTGTATGTGTATGTGTATGTGTATGTGTATGTGTATGTGTATGTGTATGTGTATGTGTATGTGTATGTGTATGTGTATGTGTATGTGTATGTGTATGTGTATGTGTATGTGTATGTGTATGTGTATGTGTATGTGTATGTGTATGTGTATGTGTATGTGTATGTGTATGTGTATGATGTGTATGTGTATGTGTATGTGTATGTGTATGTGTATGTGTATGTGTATGTGTATGTGTATGTGTATGTGTATGTGTATGTGTATGTGTATGTATGTGTATGTGTATGTGTATGTGTATGTGTATGTGTATGTGTATGTGTATGTGTATGTGTATGTGTATGTGTATGTGTATGTGTATGTGTATGTGTATGTGTATGTATGTGTATGTGTATGTGTATGTGTATGTGTATGTGTATGTGTATGTGTATGTGTATGTGTATGTGTATGTGTATGTGTATGTGTATGTGTATGTGTATGTGTACTGTGTACTGTGTACGTGTACGTGTACGTGTACGTGTACGTGTACGTGTACGTGTACGTGTACGTGTACGTGTACGTGTACGTGTACGTGTACGTGTACGTGTACGTGTACGTGTACGTGTACGTGTACGTGTACGTGTACGTGTACGTGTACGTGTACGTGTACGTGTACGTGTACGTGTACGTGTACGTGTACGTGTACGTGTACGTGTACGTGTACGTGTACGTGTACGTGTACGTGTACGTGTACGTGTACGTGTACGTGTACGTGTACGTGTATGTGTACGTGTACGTGTATGTGTTATGTGTATGTGTATGTGTACGTGTATGTGTATGTGTATGTGTATGTGTATGTGTATGTGTATGTGTATGTGTATGTGTATGTGTATGTGTATGTGTATGTGTATGTGTATGTGTATGTGTATGTGTATGTGTATGTGTATGTGTATGTGTATGTGTATGTGTATGTGTATGTGTATGTGTATGTGTATGTGTATGTGTATGTGTATGTGTATGTGTATGTGTATGTGTATGTGTATGTGTATGTGTATGTGTATGTGTATGTGTATGTGTATGTGTATGTGTATGTGTATGTGTATGTGTATGTGTATGTGTATGTGTATGTGTATGTG